TCGTCGTCAGAAAGCTACATTATCGCAGCTATAGATTAAAGATGTCAAAATGACAGGCCAGGATGAATAACTGAGGAAGGAGAACCTACTTCTAGTAAATAGGATCGCGCAACATTTTTTTTTAAAATCGTAATATTTCAACAGTTACTGTTTTCATATGTTGTTGACTTAGAATGTATGATCATGTAACAACCCTTTCTCTATAAAGAATTAATCTTCGACTTCAGTTAAAATCGGAATACGTATTGAAAACAGGGGAAGAAACATTTGTTTACGTTGTAAAAATGACGCGTGCTGCCGATAACTACGGCTTCTGTTTCGGACAAAAATGAAATGATTGGCTCAACATAAAAAGGGTCCATTGACAAGAATGCTTTAATCCATGAAAAGTATTGAAAAAAATATACTTATCAAGTAGCCCATATCTGACACATATTCTACATGTACACGAAGTGGTTTTGCCATACAGTTTAGTGTGTGCGATGGCTAATATGACTTACTAAGTGTTAGCGTATGGAGACAGTGAAAGTGGGAAAGAGAGTATACATATTTGTTTATGCATGGTATAGAGAAAAAAATGGGCCAAAGATATTGAGTTGTACAATGTAATAAAAACAATCACAAACGTTTCTCTTTTTTTATACGCGTGTAGTTTGTCATTGCATATATGCCCTTTATTAAAACATTTGAAAAGGGATATTCGTCTCGTGAATATTCCTTTTTACAGAAAGGGTTGTCCCATGGTTGAAGAAAGGTGTTTAGCCCCGTACCGATGTCACATTCCGGTCCTAAATTCAATATATATTTATATATATATACTTTCTGTTTATGCCTATTATCATTGTTGACATTTAATTGTAAATGTATGACGGGAGAAGGCTGTGATAAATTGTAAAAAAACATGTGCCCCATTCCTTGTTCAGTTTTATTGGCAACAAATATGTTTAAAGCTAAATAAATTTAAATTCTGAATATTGGCAATTGTGCAATTAACTTCTGATGATGAATAACTACTGTTCAATAAGTTTTAATACGGACTTAGAAATCATATTACTTGGTTTCATAGTGCGGTAAGAAGTTGCAGTTGCCTGACGCCCCTCTATGAGGGCCCCTTTGGAAACCGTTTCATCTCGCTCGCACCAATTGTGTTTACTGCCTAGTCAGGTGACTGACCGGCGCTATTTTTAGCAGGGCTTTCCCGAACAATTCAAGTGGTCAAACTGGACATTTGGAACGGACTATGAATATGGGGATAGCGAGGTAACATAAGTGGAAGTGCATACAATACATGCATTCATTAAAAAAAAGAGGGTTTTCGCGTGATGTCCCTTTACAAAAAAACGGTTTCCAATACTTCGTCACAGTTTTTGACCGTGGTACGGGGACCCTTAAGAACCCGTTCTTTCTGAGCGTCTCGAGATGAACAGTATTAATACACACCGGCTTGACGTCATACGCCTACTTAGCATGATTTTGTCCTAACTTTGAAATTTAAGAGAAAATGTTGTTTATGAGGTTTGGTTATAATCACTCCTGACACGAAATGGCACAAAAAAATGTTTTATAGGGAAGTTTTACCTTGGTAACAGCCCCAATAGTGAGGCCGTGATGGAATACATTTCCACCTGTTTGCAAAAACAAGCAAAAATGAATTGAATAACATCGCTCTGTATGACGGTAAATGGAACAATGACACACACCTGTCAAAGAGTAACGTCATTCCTGTATAATCGTCCTCTTACGATCAAATTTAAGTTGAGAAATTTGAAACTTTGTGCATAATGTTTTGCATTTTGTCAACAGTTAATGCATCAAAAGGTCTTATCTTTGACAGATAGTGTACAGAATTGATAAACATAGTAACATTATCTGTATATCTGAGCGTAGCAAAATAAAACTGGGTGTATGACCGTCAGCCCCTGTGTTCCTGGAATGGCTTTATTAATACAATGATACTCAGTGTAAAAAACATTATATAAATTTTCTTTATAACACGCGTGCAATAAAGCCTACAGCTTCGCTGATTGGCTAGTTTCGATTAAATTGTACGTGCGTATGGAACGGCCTTCTTCTACAACAATTGTAAAATGATTTAATCCTTAGAATGACAGTCAGAGACAGAGAGACAGAAAGGTGGTGAAGAGAGAGACAGATAGAGGGGAGAGAGAAAGACGGGGAGGGGCGAGAGAGAGAGTAATCCTTAGAATGACAGTCAGAGACAGAGAGACAGAAAGGTTGTGAAGAGAGAGACAGATAGAGGGGAGAGAAAGAAAGACGGGGAGGGGCGAGAGAGAGAGAGTAATCCTGAGAATGACAGTCAGAGACAGAGAGACAGAAAGGTGGGGAAGAGAGAGACAGATAGAGGGGAGAGAGAAAGACGGGGCGGGGCGAGAGAGAGAGAGAAATCCTTAGAATGACAGTCAGAGACAGAGAGACAGAAAGGTGTTGAAGAGAGAGAAAGATAGAGGGGAGAGAGAGAAAGTCGGGGAGGGGCGAGAGAGAGAGAGTAATCCTGAGAATGACAGTCAGAGACAGAGAGACAGAAAGGTTGTGAAGAGAGAGACAGATAGAGGGGAGAGAAAGAAAGACGGGGAGGGGCGAGAGAGAGAGAGTAATCCTGAGAATGACAGTCAGAGACAGAGAGACAGAAAGGTTGTGAAGAGAGAGAAAGATAGAGGGGAGAGAGAGAAAGTCGGGGAGGGGCGAGAGAGAGAGAGTAATCCTAAGAAAGACAGTCAGAGACAGAGAGACAGAAAGGTGGTGAAGAGAGAGGAAGATAGAGGGGAGAGAGAGAAAGACGGGGAGGGGCGAGAGAGAGAGAGTAATCCTAAGAAAGACAGTCAGAGACAGAGAGACAGAAAGGTTGTGAAGAGAGAGAAAGATAGAGGGGAGAGAGAGAAAGTCGGGGAGGGGCGAGAGAGAGAGAGTAATCCTAAGAAAGACAGTCAGAGACAGAGAGACAGAAAGGTTGTGAAGAGAGAGACAGATAGAGGGGAGAGAAAGAAAGACGGGGAGGGGCGAGAGAGAGAGAGAGTAATCCTTAGAGACTTTCTTAATGTATTCGATAATACAACATCAGTGTATCTCGGACCTTGTGTGCTTTTCCCTTCTCCATGCAAACGGAACCAGTGATAGTCTAATCACTATTCCCAACTTTCTGCGTTCTGAAGTTCATCACATGAGACGATGTCAACAAAATCGTGTATTTTTCTATTGAAAATAAATCTATCATTTAATCGGAGGTAACCACATTTTGCGATCTGATTGGGCTAAATAGTTCTATTCATAGTTCGAATCAACGTGTGTGAATTAATTACTTTTTCTCTCTATTATACTCGAAGCTTTTAATTAGTCTCCTTCTGTGCTGCTGACGTCATATCCGTGTTGACTGTCCAATACAATCGTGTTTGTTTAGTTTCTTTTCACAAAAATAACTTTCCCTGGATGCGTGGGAGGTATAATTTTGAAAATTGATCAAATGACGTACGCACATGTCATGTTAACGAATACGTGACTATGATGACATGGCAACAAAAATCAGATTTATTGATGTTTATTTCCAGGTGTTGCTTAAAGGTCACGTGTACGATCACTCAGCTGTGACTAGATAAACTACAATAACATATATACTTAAACGCATGTGACGTTCGGATGTAACAACGATCAATCAATGATTCTATAAAGTAATACAGCTAATAGGATAGAAACCGTCCCCTGTAAATTATCCCTATTCACGTCACACTCCCCAAGCTATATATGTTAATGCTGGTTACGATGAAAGGGAACAGATTTATATAAGTGTATCAACACTGGTGTCTTTCTCCTTATTATTCATGTTAAACTATATTTGTTTTATGTATTACATATGCTACATGTAAGTAAATAAACCAAAGTTTAAAGTAAAATGAAAGAAACGACAGTAGAATACATTTGTATGAGTGAGAATCGTTTTGGCATTGTAACAGTATAAGATAGTAACCGAGCGGTCACTCTTTATATAGCGGTGAGAATAATGAACCCGAACTTAGGAGCTTGAGAGTAACCGCCGCCGTCACGTCTCCGCGCTGATTATAAAATCTCTAGAGAGTAAACCGCCGCCATCACGTCTCCGCGCTGATTATAAAATCTCTAGAGAGTAACCGCCGCCGTCACGTCTCCGCGCTGATTATAAAATCTCCTGGGTTTAAACGCTACATTCGTTTGTATTCCAATGTTTTAGATGATATTAAAGGACAGACAACTACTTACCATAACAACTTTGACCGAAATAATGTTCGGTAGGTACCTATTATTAGCTCACATTGCACGAAGTGTTACGGTGTTGTATCCGTCTTCCACCCGTCATCTTGTTCTCCGAGCATCTTCTTGCATACTCAAATACGCAGCTTCCTGATACCTGGCCGATAGGAACGTGGGGAAATGCCGTAAAGTTTTCTCATATATATTACCCTGAAATATGTTTAAGGTCACAGGGGTTAAGTATGTTGAACAAACTCAAATATCATTTCCTCAAGTACAATAAGGTCCAGGCATGTTGATATTGCTGAAGACCGGCAGTGCACATTTTCTATTTATGTTTTGTGTTTGCGTCAAAGGTCAACTTTGAACACTGGCTGTGGTCAAATGATAAAATAGGCTAGAAAGGGTAAACAAAATTTGAAACATTTTCTGAATTTCCATAAGACACGATCTTGATAAGTGATCAGTGGGTACCTAAATATGGCGCAACGACATTGACCTACCTTCAAGGTCATAGGGGTAAAGTGCGTAAACAAAAATAAAATAAAAACAATATTAACCCTTTCACCACTGTGAACCTTAATACTCATCCAGATGAATGTATGGTAGAGTCTGTTCAAGTTACCTAGGGTTGAAAGGGTTAATCGCCAACTCAAAACATTCAAGTCACGATTCTTGAATACAATGGAGAGCAATAGTGTCATTATATTTCCTATTTCATTTCCTGTGCCTTTTTATGTAACCTGGTTTTCTCGCTTCAGGCGTTTTTTGCAGAGCGGTTCTTCCAAATGTTTGACGAAAACGGAAGTGGATCCATTGAGTTGATTGAGTTGATGACTGGATTGCGCACGCTCAGAAAAGGGACGCCTACCGAGAAGCTCCGCTTCCTGTTCAAGGTGTACGATATTGATGGTGCGTGTTATCTTGCATCTCGGAAAAAGTTATATTACAGAAGTGTGATGACGTCACAAAATATTTGCATACTCATGTTAAAATGTCAGTGATGTACAAAACATAGTTAATCATAAAAGACATCTAATAACTATGGTTCCAAATAAAGGGTTCCTTATAAACAGAACTTCAATGAAGCAACAATTTAGGCAAACACGTTCATGCGCACACACATGTTTCCTGTTGAGGTATCCATACGGACGCATATCATTTGTTTAAATTTACGTTTTCTACATTTTCGTCCACAGGCAGTGGCTATATTGACCGGAACGAGTTGAACACTGTTTTGAGAACGAGCATGGAGGAGAGCTCTCTAACTTTAGGAGAGGATAAACTTGAAAAAATGACCGACGCCATCTTTGAATCTGCAGATACGGACAATAGTGGGGAATTATCGTTTGATGAACTTAAGGCGGAGCTGGAACAGTATCCAGGCGTAATGGAAAATCTCAGTATGAGGTAAGTTACACGTTCAAAAGTATCACCAGGTACTATTTTTACCTCGCCTATTCGAAGGATAGGGGGGCTAATGTTGCCACCCCGGCGTCGGCGTCCCACCTTCCGAGGTTAAAGGTTTGGTGCAAGTTTTTTCCAGACAGTGTTGGATCATCACACTCAATACACAGTTGTCTATTATGAGTTTAAGTCATTTATATCGAGTGTAAGCAATGTGCTGGACCATATTTTTATATTTTATGGCCCCAAAACAGCTTAATTGGACTTAGTTAAATTTGAGGTGAAAGTTTTTGGGAGAGTTTTTTTTTGTGAAGTGTTGGACAACCACCATCAATACGCTGTTGTCCATTATAAGGTTGAAGCATTTATATGCAGTGTTAGCAAAATGTTCTGGGCAATATTTTCATATTTTATGGCCCAAAAATAGCTAAGTTGGACTTAGTTAAATTTGAGGTTCAAGTTTTTGCGCAAGTTTTGTTGGGTAGTGTTGGACCACCACCATCAATAGGCTGTTGTCTATTATTATAAGGTTGAAGTATTTGATTGAGTGTAAGCAATGTGTTGAACCATATTTTCATATTTTAACGTCCAAAAACAGCTTAATTGGACTTTGTTAATTTCTTAACAATCACTTCACATACATGTTTCTACACATTTAACAGTCCTTGAAATATCATGGTGGTAAGTGAGGTGGCAAATAAAATGACAGGCACTATATCAACGTTTTACTATACATGTGTTTCTATTGATAGTTGCAGTATTATAATAACATACATAGGCGAGCTATGCTGTTCTCCGACAGCTCTTGTTTAACTCGGGGAAACTGTACTAGTCTAACCCATAATTAAGTAGGGTGATGCGTGTTCTGTAACGGAATTACAAACTGAACTCTGGTATTATGTAGTTTACCTGATATTGGTAGATAAGAACCGCCGATGTTAAGAACCACCATTCAAATATATATAATAGTTCTTGTCGAGACCCCCCCTCCCCCGCTTAAGCTTAAACAGGACACACAACGTCAGACATTTTACTGATTTATTTTGTAATGACCCTCTGATATATATATCCTCTATATATCTCTATATATTTGTTATTTCAAAAGTGCATCGAAATTTGATCTTGCCATGTATTTTATCATATGCAATATATTTTTTTTGTATTTGTTTTCAGTGCTGCATCCTGGTTGAAGGTACCCACGGGAAAACAAGCACAGAAATCCTCCGCATCGTCTCGGTACTTAACGACCACGTACTATCGTAACAATTGCAAAAAGATCGTGTTTCTCATCATTTACATCCTGGTCAACATTGCGCTTGGTTGCTATGCTGCCTATAACTACAAAGACTCGAACGGCTGGTACATTTTGGCGCGAATCTGTGGTATGAATCTAAACTTCAACGGGACGTTCATTATTGTGCTAATGCTGCGGAAGAGTTTGACCTACTTACGACTGACATTCCTACATCGTTTGTTGCCAATCGACCAGAACATCTACTTTCACAAACTCTGTGGTGCTTTCATCGCCTTTTTTAGTTTCTTCCATACCGTGGGACATATCGGCAATGCATGTGAGTAACATTGTATTATAACCCGATAGGTCACACAGAGGCGGGTTTACTTACCATAGTCACACAGAGGCGGGTTTAGTTACCATGGTTACACAGAGGCGAGTTTAGTTACCATGGTCACACAGAGGCGGGTTTAGTTACCATGGTCACACAGAGGCGGGTTACGTTACCATGGTCACACAGAGGCGGGTTTGGTAACCATTGTCAAACAGAGGCGGGTTTGGTTACCATGGTCACACAGAGGCGGGTTTGGTTACCATGGTCAAACAGAGGCGGGTTAAGTTACCATGGTCACACAGAGGCGGGTTTGGTTACCATGGTCACACAGAGGCGGGTTTGGTAACCATGGTCACACAGATGCGGGTTTGGTTACCTTGGTCAAACAGAGGCGGGTTTGGTAACCATGGTCACACAGAGGCGGGTTTGGTTACCTTGGTCAAACAGAGGC